GACATATATACAGATTTTTAGGAGGAGAAATTAAACAAAAAAAAAAGGCAACACTTGCACAAATAGATAGGGGTTAGGGAAATTTATATTTAAAGAATAATTGTAAATTTTGAATAAGAAATATAATGTTATACTTTTAAAGCAACTAGGTCATGATCAAGATAGATGTATTCTGACATATTCAAAATTGGAGTTTCAGTCTGACTATTCTCCTAGTCACCTCGCTGCCTTATCCGCGGCATGTCGTTGTCTTAAACTAGATAATATCTTTAGAACAATGTAACCCAAAAGGAAAAAAAAAAAAAGAAAATGTATGAATACTTTATCTATTTCTTTTAAAATATTTGTAAATTTTAAGTTTCATTTTTTATTTTAAAATAAGACGTATTTTACAAATTTAGTAAAATATCAATATTAATACTAATGATTTTATATCATCGGTCTCATTGGTAGTCCAAACGGGTGGTTCATAGTGAAACTTCAAAAAATTCCACAATAATTAATGAACTTTGACTTCCTATGCCTCTCACAACCTTTAGACTGGTCAAGGAAACATGGCGCTGTTTAAAATTATTAGGCCTTGGGACTTCTAGTCAACAATCATACCATCATACGTGATTTGACTGATTAATTAACACTGCTTCGAATTTTATGCGAATGAGGATAATATAATATAGTGGGAATCAGAATGAAAATGAAATTTGCTAGAATATGAGAAGTGTGTGTGTGTGTGTGTATATATATATATATATATTTTGGTATGTTACATAAAGGAATGAGTATTTATTAATTTGGTTATTTTTAAACTTATAAATTATACCAAAACAATGTTCTAGCAGTGGAAAAAGGAAAAAAAACCCTGTCATTCAAATTGTCATAGCAAGTTTAACCAACATGGTCAAGTGTGCAACCCAAAAAGACAGATAAGGTGGATCGCGGCTGAAGTTTTTATTTTTCTTTTTTGTTATAGGACCTCAAATTGGGCCAACAGGCAGAACCAAAAACTATTAAATGAGAGCAATCATACCATCAATTTGTTTGAATACCAACTCAAAAAGGAGGTTCTTGATCCAAAGAAAAGGAAGGTAACGATTAATTAAGTATGCAAAACTTAGAGGCATGTTTGACAGTGCCTTGAATATGATCATCTTTAATAGAATGATATTTGTGGATAATCAAAAAACAAAACTTGGAGGGCATGGAGGAGGGATGTATACATGAGTGCGAAACTGTACATCTACTATATGACGATATTTTCTTTCAATGGTGTCATTTGAGAGTAAGCATGTGGACAAGAGATATAGTGAGAGATTCTAAAATTTAATAAAATTTTGTGACGGCCATGAAACTCCCTTCCCAATTAGATTGTAATGATTCAATTTTAAAATTAAATTGTGTCTCAACTTGTTTCTTGAACTGAAGAAAAATATCATAAGCTTCATTTTTCATTTTCATTACATACAACCAATAATATCTACTAAAATCATCAATGACAGAAACATAATATCTAGAACCAGACATAGAAATAATTGAAGGAGATAGAATTAAGGAACCCACACGTCACTGTATAACAACAACAACAAGCTTTTATTTCACTAGATGGGGTTGGTTATATGAATTGTAAGATGCCATTATACTCTATTATTTATCAAGCTTTTAAAAATATTATTAATTAAGAAATCGCGTTCAACAACTTCTAAGAGTGTTTTCTTAGGCCTTCCTCTACCCCTCTGTGTTCAACAACTTCTATCATTTACCCATCACTGTAAATTAAATATAATGGAGATGAAGAACAATAAGGGGAAGGGTGATCGGGAAGTGAATGGTATTTAGATATAAAACAAGCTAAGCATAGAGAAGTAGAAGATGAAGATGACACTGGAATGAAGTTGATGGGTAGATAAAATCTTGCGAACAACACGAAAAACATGGTGACAAGCCAGAGCGAGGAGGTGAAGAAAGAATATTATAGAGATTGGATTGAAACATAAAGTAAATTTTTAGTAATCAGAAGGAACATGAAGAAGATAATTTAGAGGAAAAACCACGTGCAGGAGTTGGGAGGATGCCAGAACCAGTGTGAGCTATCACCAACTCAAAGACACGAGGGCCATGATAAGGAGTGAAAGAAAGATTAAGATTAGAATCAGAAGAGCAACCTCCATGATAGTTGGGAGATGAAGCACCAGTAAGACTTGCTAAGAGGAATAACCAGTTGTAGAAAGATGAGCAGAATATCAATTTCTGTTGATAGAACAAAGTGAATTTGGTTGATCAAGCATCAAAGTTTAATCAGCATATGACAACTCATTAGAAGACAACAACGTATGCTAAGTAGTGAGTGAACCCAGCAAAAAAAAAAAAAAAAAAAATTCTGATAAAATTAAGATCTGAAATGGGTTTTCCAGTAGTACCAGTAAGGGAATGAACCAACATATTAACTCACTTGAAATATATTTAGAAATAGAGTCTCCACTTTTCTTGATTGTGACAAGTTGAGCTTGAAGTTGAAGGTATTTTACTTGGGATTGCTGAGGGAACATATTTGCAAGAGCATTCTGCATTGATTAAGATGATTTATGCTTGGCTACATTAGCAACAATTCCTTTAGACCGAGAAGAGATAATAGCCGAAAGTATAAGCTGGTCCTGTGCAAACATTTTGGGTCTTTGTAATGGCACGTGTCTAATTATTACTCATACTGAAAAACATATTTTGAAAGTACAAACAATTTTGGGATCAAATGTTGAAATAAAGTTTTACGTTCCAAGAATTAACACGTCACTTTACAACTCTCAACTACCATATACTGACATAAGATAATTCCCTATTTTACTATCCTTTGTTATGACCATACCATAGTCAAAGGGCTTGCTTAATGTCAGGCTATACCTACCAAGACCTATTGTTACATGTGATCAATGAAAATGCATCCAAGAAGGGGTGAATTGGGTTAATAAAAATTTTGACAAATAAAAATTTAATTTAAAGAGTTAAGGGATATGAATCATATCAATGTAAGTGTTGAAGTAGAAAGAAGAGAAATTTAACACAAAAGGTTTATTTTGGTTCAACCAGTCCACTTACTTACGTCTAATCCCTAAGCTTATTCTTTGGATTTTTCACTATACTCTACAAAGTCTTAGAAGAGTATATATAAAATCAATGAACCTTATTAGAAATGAATGTAATAGCAGAAGTGTAGTTGAAAAATTTAATGGAATAGTTTGCATTATAACTACTCTGCATCAAACTTTAAATGAGTTCTTTTATGGTGTCTTTGTACCAAGTGTCTATTAGATTTGTGAATTTATCCGTAGTGACTTACTTCTTGTTAATATGATCGTTAGATGCTTTACTCAATCTTTATCTTCAATGAAGATGCTAAGTTTCCTAAAAAAAATCGAAGAGAAAAGTTTTTCCGTCTAGGTAATGTGTTTCAAGCTTAAAGCAAGTTTGCATTAACTGACATTATTATCGCTGAAACAAAACTTCGATGTTTTTTAAGAAACTTTGAAGTATTTAATTTTAAGCAAATTTTGATTAAAGAGATGAAACTTGATTAAAGCTTAATCCAAGTTTAAAGGTTATTAATCTGAATAAAGACATATTTAGAAATAATATAGTGTGAATTCAAATTAATATAGAAAGATTATTATAAGGTAAAACAAATATAAGAATATGATGCAATTTGGACCAGAGAGAAAACTTCAAAATTTTTGAGAGAACTTTGAACTATTTGAAGCAACACAGAAACTTTGAATGCAAATGAAGAAAACTTTGAATTATTTGGAATCTAATGAGAAGTTTTAAGAAAAAGTTCGAAGTTTGTGAGCAAATATTCGAAGTTTAAAGACGATCAACAAGAAAGCTTAAAAACTTCAAACTTTAGAGATAGAATAGCGAAGTAAATTAGGGAATGACCCAAAGAACGAACATGGAAGCTACGATGTTTTAGAGCAAAGCTTTGAAATATTAGAAGACAAAAGTACATAGGTTTAGAAACTTCAAAGTAAAGAAAGAAACAATGAAGTATATTAGACAATATATCAATTGATGCAAAAACTTCAAAGTTTTTAACCAACACTTTGAACTTTTTAGGGCAAAAAAACTTCAAGTTATTTAAACAAAACTCAGAAAGTTTGAACATGATAGCACAAGAGATTAAAACTTCGAGACCTTATATATTATAAAATATGAAAGAAGCAGAAAAACTTTGAAATTTGAGAAAAAAAACTTCAAATTTTTTGAAAAAGCTTGACAAAATAAAATTAAAATTTTTAAGCCATCAAACTAATTAATCCCTTGTCATATTTCTAAGCAAATAAACCCTGTTAAATGCAAAATCTTCTCTAACTTTGTCATAATCAAAATTAAGAAAACATATTTCTACAATCAACTATATGTTATTGTATCTCAAGGGGGTAGTAGATAGGGGTCGAAGATGTTAATTCTTGATTTTCAATAATCTAATTGATGTGTGGCAGCCAAACCCATCCCTTGATGTATTGCACTTTATTTCCATTTTTTGTCTATCTTTCTTTAGGACAAAAATTTGTTGTCTTCATTTTCTCTATGTCTAAAATTTATCTCTCATGTTATCCTTACAGTTTTGATTGTTGAAAATTTATTTCAACAAATAATTTTCTGTGAACAAACTGACCAAAATTTTCATGCATTGTAGATCATATTAGAAAGTATAGTTAATATTGTTGTAACTTTTGATTTTCTATCATATTTGCTGCTTTGATTAATGAAGGCAAGGTCTTATGGGATGCTGCTGTTAGTTTCCTAATATTTTGCTTCTCCCTTTTTAACCATTATTTTGTTTGATAAGATTTAACCATTATTTTACATGCTTTTCTCTGATTGTGAAACTGACAGAGGCTTATTTTGTCACCTGAGGACAGATTTGGACTGGAAGCTCATTTATGTTGGATCTGCTGAGGATGAAACGTATGATCAATTACTAGAGAGTGTACTTGTTGGTCCTGTCAATGTTGGAAACTATCGCTTTGTATTACAGGCAAGCTTCATGCACAGTATTACTCATGGATTTTGTGATATAATTGCAACATGATATGGAAATTCTTTTTGACATTTTGCAGGCAGATCCACCAAACCCATCAAAGATTCGTGAAGAAGATATTGTTGGGGTCACAGTGCTCCTGTTGACCTGCTCTTATCTGGGTCAGGAATTTGTCAAAGTGGGAAAATATGTGAGCAATGACTGTGAGGATGAGCACCTAAGAGAGGAACCTCCACCAAAGGTTTTGATTGATAAGGTTCAAAGGAACATATTATCTGATAAACCTAGGGTTACTAAGTTCCCCATCAATTTCCATCCAGAGAATAATAATGAAAATGCAGAGCAGCCTCCTCCAACTGAGCACCCATCTGAAATTAATGAGAATGGAGAAGTGCAACATGCACCCCCTGATCATGTTCAACCAGATGAGCATGAATCGTAAATTTTACTGGTATAGAGAAACATTTTTTTTTTTGAATCCTTATAATTTTACTCTAAAGGAAATGAACAAGATTTCCATCAACATGGATGCTTGAGTTCTACAGCTGCTATCAACCATCTGAAATTGGATGGGACATTTAGATATGATGATTAATATACACAGGCATATGTGTTGTGATTTTTGAAACCCAGTTTCTTTCAGTGAATCCCTGTGTGGTGCTTTCAATTTGGTTTTGATTGTTGAAACAGATTCTCAATGACTAGGTTCTGGCAGTTATTTTCTTCACGGTTTGCAATAGTAGAAATAAACTGCACGTTAATTTGGCTATTTTGAATCTTGCTTTCTTTAGTATTCTTCTGGTCTGTTTTTGTCTGCGTTTTCCTGTTTGATGAAATCAATAATCAAGCAATACTTACAGTGATGCGATAAGAAACAATTGCTGATGTTTTGTTTATCAACATATGTTTCATTCATTAAAGATTATTTTGTTATTTGAAGTAGAAAAAAAGAAGCTATGAAATCCATTATGGAATTTATAATGATATAAGCCAGTTGCTTTTAACCGTTTGTTGGTCTCAGCATTTTTTTAATAGAAGGCTATGGAACATATAAACTACATAGACAAAAGCAATAACACTTTTACCAATTCAGTTTGGCATGTAGGAATTCTCGTCACTTGGATTGTTGGGGATACAAAGTTCTGTTTTTATATATGTAGTAACTTGGTCGAGAGAAGGTTACCTTGTGCCTTTAATATTCTAGGGGAGATTAGTTTCTGCTATTGATAGAGCGGACTTCTTATGCCTCACGAGCCAACAATAAAAAACAAAGCAATAGAACTCTAAGCACTGCCCACATAGGTAGCTAGCAAACTATGATACCTTGAAGAAGGATCTTGCTTGAGCCACTTGATCTTGAGAGAGAGAAGCTTGAGTTTCAATGAAGTCTCCATCATCAACATTTACATCTTGGCCTCCACCTTCATTTTCAAACGTTGCAACATTCTCAAAATCTCCATGTTGCTCATCTTCTCCAATTGATTGTCCAAATAGATGGATTTGAATGTTATATTTATACTTAATCTAACAAAATTCAAATTTCACTAATTAGTAAGTAGATATAAATTAAGAACTAAATTACTTATCATTTTTAACATTAAACTTATGCATTTTTGGATTTGTCATCAACCAATTGATCATCTTTCTTTTTTTATTGTGTATTGCCTTATGCTCTTCAGACAGCATAGGTCTCTTTCCTTTCTCTTTCTGCTACAAAAGTAACAATCATTAATATAATTTTAAAATCAAAACAATAATGATACAATATAAGAGCTTTACAACTTAATGACTTAAACCTTACCAATTTAGAAGCATGTTCATGGGCAGGACGTGATCCTAAACAAGGAATCAAATTTTTCATAAACTCTTAGAAGAGTAGATATATAATCAATGAAATTTACTAGAAATGAATGTAATAGCAGAAGAGTAGTTGAAGAATTTAATGGAACAGTTTATATAATAATTGCATCAAACTTCAAATGAATCCTTTTTTAGTATTTTTGTACCAAGTGTCCGTTAGACTCGTGAGTCTCTCTATTGTGACTTGCTTCTTGTTAATCTGAACATTAGATGCTTTATCCAATATTTATGTTCAGTGACAATGCTAAGTTTCCTGAAAAAAAGATGGAAGAGAGAAGTTTTTCCAACTGGGTAATGTGTTTCAGGCTTAAAGCTTAATCCAAGGTTTAAAGGTTGTTAATATGAATAAAGACATTTAGAAATAATCTAGAATGAATGCATATTAATTTAGAAAGATTATTAGAAAGTAAATCAAAGATAAGAATATGATGCAATTTGGACCAGAGAGAACACTTCGAACTTTTGAGAGAACTTCGAAGTATTTCAAGGAGCACAGAAACTTTGAAAGCAAATGAAGAATACTTTGAAATATTTGGAATCTGGCGAGAAGTTTTAAGAAAAAATTCGAAGTTTGAAGAGGTTCAACAAGAAAGATTGCAAACTTCTGAGTTTAGAGACAAAATATCGAAGTAAATTAGGTAATGACTCAGAGGACATGAAAACTTTGATGTTTTAGAGCAAAACTTCGAAATATTAGAAGACAACGGTATAGAAGCTTAGAAACTTTGAAGTAAAGAAAGAAACTTCATAGTATATTAGACAATATATCAGTTGATGCAGAAACTACGAAGTTTTTAACCAAAACTTCAAACTTTTTAGAGGCAAAGAAACTTCAAATTATTTAAACAAAACTCAAAAAGCTTGAACAAGATAGCATAAGAGAGTAAAACTTTGAGATATCATAATAAAATATGAAAGAAGCAGAAAAACTTTGAAGTTTGATAAAAAAAAAACTTCAAATTTTTTGAAGAAGCTTGGCAAAACAAAATTAAAATTTTTAATTTAAGCCGTCAAACTTAATCCCTCATCATATTTCTGAGCAAATAAACTCTGTTAAACACAAAATCTTCTTTAACTTTATCATAATCAAAATTAGAAAAACATATTTCTACAACAAATTATATATTATTGTATCTCAAGTGGAAAGTAGGCAGGGGTAGAAGATGTTAATTCTTGATATAAACATAACCCCATATATGTGACTTCCAATGTGGTGTATAAAAAATTTTCAATAATCTAATTGATGTGTGGCAGCCATAACCTTACCCTGATGTATTGAACTTTATTTCCATTTTTTGTCTTTCTTTCTTTCTTTACGATAACAATTTGTTGTATTCATTTTCTCTATTTCTAAAATTTCTCTCTGATGTAATCCTCACACTTTTTTTGTTGCTGTAGTTTTTGAAAAATTATGTATTGACCATGTAGTGAATTCTTTCAATTATTTTACTCATATAGCTACTTAATATGTACTCCTTGCCCTTGTCAAACACTTAAAAAAGGTTGGTACATAAAGAAATATCATGTGCAACGTGTGGGTGAAAAACTAGTAAACATTTACAATAGAATAACACGCTCTCATACACTCTTAATTATAGTGACGCATGTTCATCACTAATGGAAAACAATCACGTATATAACACATCTTTAAAATTATAAGGAATAATAAAACTTTGATCTCTCAAATTTATTTCAATTATCAATTTGGTTTTTAAAGTTTAATTTTTATCAATCAATTAAGTTCCCAAACTTTTTCATAACTACATGCAATTAGTCATGATGTTGTTTTCCCTTCAAACCAAAAGAATTAATTGTGTATAGTTTTGAAACTTTATGAGCTTAATTGATAAAGATTAAACTTTCTACACCAAATCAATAACCAAGGCAAGCTTTAAGACCAAAAGTTTCATTATCTCCAAGCATAATCTTAAGAACTAATATTTAGAGAAAAATGAAAGAGACCTGTTGGGATCAAAGAATTCGGATGACGAAAGAGCTGACGCTTATGGGAGGCTCAATGAAACTGCAATCCAAGAGAAACAAATTTCAAAAGAATCTTATTAATTGGTGAAAAAAATATTCAAAGAATCTTCTGGCAACTAGCAGCTTGAATTTGGCTTCTAGCTTATCAGTAATCTATAATAAAAATAAAATCAAAACATAAACATAACACTAAGAACAAGGGACAAGGATGTAAGGTTAAAGGGGGGAAAAAAGAAAATATATAGCAATCAACCATAAACCACTTAATATAATCTTTTATGGATCAATATAAGACTAGATCAAGCCACAATTGAAGTTATTTTATTTTAAAAATGATTTCATATGGGTAAGCAACAACAATAATAATCTAGCCTGGTTAAAAGAATAATTTAAAACAGGCAATTAAAATATGCCATTCAGATCAGATCTACCATTATTCTGATCGGCAAAACAAAATGGGAGCGAAGACACAGAAGGGTGTGGTGACAGAAGACAGAGAGCACGAAGGAGTGAGATGCCATGGTTCCTTTATGCATTTCAACCTCTGTGCTCTCTATCTTCTGTCAGCAACATCACCAAAACGCCTTCATCGGCTCTTCTTATGGGAAAAAAAAAAACTCATATACTTAAAAAACGAGGAGGAGGAGGAATATGATGATGATTTTGATGAAAGCAAGAAATTTTCATATATCTCCTTATAATCACCCACTAATTTCCCTGCATGAATTAGAAGACAAGTTAGAAATATTGGAAAAGAAGTGAACATGGCTTTCAAATATGTATGGGGTTGGCTTGCTCCTGAGGAAGGGAAGCAATACCTAAGGACCTATTTATAGGGAAAACAAACGGCCAATGCACGCATGCTCTAGACTTCTTGAAAGAATAAAAATTATTGACCAAAGTGTATTATTAACCTTCTAACTTTATATAAGATTTTAGTTTCATCCCCTTAATTTTATAAAATATTTTTTTAACTTTAATCCTAACACTATTCGTTTCAAATGATTTTTTTATATGTCAATAATTGTTATTTTAATATATTAAACTTAATATATCAACATTTGAGAATATTTTATTAATATTTTGAAATTTAATGTAGGGTTTTTTTTGTTGTTGATGAAACTAATGATATTAGAATTAAAAGACTGAAAATATATTTTATAATATTGAGATATTAAAATAAAATATTATATAAAATTAATAATTAAAAGTGCACTTTAGTCAAAATTATTTGCGTGGAATTCAACAGAAATCAACTTATGCATAACTTATAAATAGTACATATTTTGTGAATTCTATATTTTATATGATATGATATGATTCTCGGTTAATACCATAATAGGGATTGTGTTGTTTAAAAAACGTTTTCTATATATAAGCAAAGAATAATAGTCAATATACCCATATCAAGATTTTGTTGTCTTCGGATAAAGCGAGAACTTACTATAAAAACAATTTGACCAAAAGAACAGTAACTTACAGTGAAAATAGGATCTAGATTTGGTGAGTGACTTAAAATTACTCAATTATTATTGTATTGAATTTCATTAATATTTAAAAATTATTAAGATATATTTCTTCCCAAAAATTTAAAACAATAATTCCCGCGATTAGAAAACTACTCACATACATTATCTTCTCCAAAAACTTAAAACTTGATACTTTCTCAGTATTATATATAACAAAATCTTTGATAGTCATTATTTAATTAAATTAAATTATTGTTGTATTGTGTTATGTGAGATACTCATCGAGTAAAAATCCACGTATATTTATCTCATATCTTTTGCACCGTAGATTCCGTTATAATATTTGCTGCATTAAAAAAATAGAAAAAAAAGTGCTTGAAAGCTTTCTCCCATTAGAAGCAAGATTTTAATTCATGATCTTATGAGTTATATATTAAATCTTTGCCAACTAGACTAATTTTCATTGGTTGAAAAAAAAAAAAGCTTTCCAGAGGCACTTATTGTGAGAAATGCTAAAATATTTATCATTGTATCTATATTCTACACTAATTGATTACATCCTTTAATTTCTTTTACAACATAATTCTGTGTACTCATTATTCTTGTAACTTGCACATAATTAAATTTATCACATTTTCAATTTCCATAATGAATGATAAAAGATCAATCGCAACATTATTACCTCATTAGATAATAAAATCATGGAATTGCTTGTAAAGCTATTTATCTTCAAATGGTATTAAGAACGACCTATTATAAAATGTAGCAAATATTAATTTTTTTGGCAAGCCCCCCGTACATATGCCGTATATTTCTTGTGCTTTTGATTTTTGAAAGTGGAGACCTAGCTAGTGATATTCTATTCAACAAGGTCTCGCATGCTATAGAGCCAAAAGACGATTTAAGAATATTATTGTGATTAAAGATTTAAAGTTACTGCATGCATATTTCCGTCATGATGATGATGAAAATTCCATTTTTAATCATGATTTAAAAAAAAAGCTTTATGAAGAATAACTTTTTTCCATATTCATAAAATAATATTTTAGTATTAATCATTGGAGAACATATTCCTCCACTCTTCTTGCCATTAATGGAATAAGCATATATATATATATATATATATATATATATAAAAGAGTAGCATATAGGAGTCCGCTTCACTTTTGTTTCGCCGTTTAGAAAATTTCAACGAAATGAATCAACAAAGTCTTGTAAGATCTGTCAACAAATTAATCTGAAAGTGACAAATCAAGTTACCCATCATCTGAGAGTTGAATTTGATGGCTATATGTTTATTAAATAAATGAATCGAATTTAAGTTGACGCATTTGTGTTTATATACATTCATCTTATGTCGATTTTTTTGTAAAAAGATATAACATTGGTTTCAGGAATATATCATCACTATCAATTTAGTTTTTTTTTTACCAGTACTATCAATTTAGTTTTAAACTTTTAATTTAATTGAAGTGACATAAAAAGGAGTTTTCTAACAAATAGAAAATAAAATTGAAAGTGATATTTTTTAAAAACTTAATTAATTAATTATATTATATCTTTAGGATTGATATGCAATTTCAACCTTGAACTATAGGTTCAAAAGTGATTTGAATCCTAAATTTTTTTAATGTACATTTTGAACTCTAAACAATTAAAATTAGTGCAATTTTGCTCTCATTATCAAATTGAACTAAACATCAGTTTTTTTTAAATAGTGTCTAATGTGCAATTTTCATCAAATTTCACTTTTCTTCTCTCTCCTACCTTCTTTTGATGAAAATTGCATACTAGGCCCATTTTTAGAAAATAAAGGATGTTTAATTAAAATTAACAGCGGGGATAAAATTATACTAACTTTAATTATTTAAAGTTTAAAATATAAATTATAAAAATTTAGTGTTTAAATTACTCCTGAACTTATAATTCAAAGTTTAAATTGCATATTAACCCTATATTTTTATTATAATTAACTTTATAATACTTTTGAATATTCTTCTATCTAGAAAATTTGAAATTATATATTTCTTATATTTAGACTAACTGCATAAAGAAAATTCATCTTCTATTTATTTTAAATAGGGCTAAATGGGAAATTTGTCCCTAAATCATAGGTCCAGTAACATTTGAAATCCTAAACTCATTTTTGATACATGTTCTCCTTCAACTTTTAAAAATGGTGTAATGTAACCTTTATCATTAACAAATATTAACTTTGATCGATAGTTAATTTTGTCATTTGCCATAATTTTTGTGGGATCCCTGTCTATAATTTTAATAGTCAAAGTTAATTTTTATTGACAATAATGATTACTTTCAAATTTTAAATAAGAATATTATACTAAAAATGAGTTTAAGGTTTTAAACGTTCCTTGACATATAGTTTCAGGGTAAATTTACCCTTTAACCGTTTCAAATATGAGGAAAAATTAGTTAACTTGCACTTTGACTATCCACATCAAATGTGCTCTAGAATATTGTTTAAATCATTTTGTTTTTATAATTTTGATTATTTGATATTTTTATATATAAAAGAGTAGCATATAGGAGTCCGCTTCACTTTTGTTTCGCCGTTTAGAAAATTTCAACGAAATGAATCAACAAAGTCTTGTAAGATCTGTCAACAAATTAATCTGAAAGTGACAAATCAAGTTACCCATCATCTGAGAGTTGAATTTGATGACTATATGTTTATTAAATAAATGAATCGAATTTAAGTTGACGCATTTGTTTTTATATACATGCATCTTATGTCGATTTTTTTTTTTTTGTAAAAAGATATAACATTGGTTTCTGGAATATATCATCACTGTCAATTTAGTTCTTTTCTTTTTTTTTTTTTTGCCAGTACTGTCAATTTAGTTTTAAAATTTTAATTTAATTGAAGTGACATAAAAAGGAGTTTTTCTAACAAATAGAAAATAAAATTGAAAGTGATATTTTTAAAAAACTTAATTAAATTAATTATATTATATCTTTAGGATAAATATGCAATTTAAACCTTAAATTATAGGTTCAGAAGTTATTTGAATCCTAAATTTTTTAATATACATTCTAAACTCTAAACAATTAAAGTTAGTGCAATTTTACTCTCATCATTAAATTAAACTAAACATCAGTTATTTTTTTTAAATGGTGTTTAATGTACAATTTTCATCAAATTTCACTCTCGCTCTCTCCAACCTTCTTTTGGTGAAAATCGCATACTAAGCCCATTTTTAGAAAAATGAGGGGTGTTTAATTTAAATTAACGGTGGGGATAAAATTACACTAACTTTAATTATTTAAAATTTAAAATGTACATTATAAAAATTTAATATTCTTCTGAACCTATAATTTAAGATTCAAATTGCATATTAACCCTATATTTTTGTTATAATTAACTTTATAATCCTTTTGAATATTCTTCTTTCTAGAAAATTTGAAATTATATATTTTTTATATTTAGACTAACTGCATAAAGAAAATTCATTTTCTATTTATTTTAAATAGGGCTAAATGGCAAATCTGTCCCTAAATCATAGGTCTAGTAGCATTTGGAATTCTAAACTCATTTTTGATACATGTTCTCCTTCAACTTTTGAAAATGGTGTAATGTGACCCTTACCGTTAACAAATATTAACTTTGACCGTTTGTTAACTTTGTCATTTGCCATAAATTTTTTGGGATCCTTGTCTATAATTTTAATAGTTAAAATTAACTTTTATTAACAATGATGATGACTTTCAAATTTTAAATAGAAACATTACACTAAAAATGATTTTAAGATCTCAAATGTTCCTTGACATATAGTTTAAGGGTAAATTTACCCTTTAACCCTTTCAAATGAGGGAAAATTAGTTAACTTGCAGTTTGACTATCCACATCAAATCTACTCTAGAATATTGTTTAAATCATTTTGTTTTTATAATTTTGATTATTTGATATTTTAAAGGAAATATAATGCAAATTGAAGACAATATTTTATGTCGTCAATTTTAAAATTATTATGTAACCTAAAAAAATAAAATTTTAAATTTCAACCATATAAAATTATGGACATTAACATTTTCATTTTTACTTTGTCATGTGATAAAAATCTGCATATATCATCCGCGGAAGATTAATATAATTGATAAGATTCAGTCATAAAAATTTTATAGACTTAAAAAAGAATTTAACTAATAAAAAATTTTGTATTAAAAAAAAAAGAAAGGAAAGGGAAAAGGTTGGATTTAGGAGAACCCCCCACCACACAAATGCCTATCTCTTTATTTGTGTCTCAATCTAAAACGTCAGATACCACAAAAAAATCAAAATGCGAATGTGAAAGCACG